TGTGTGTGTGTGTGTGTATGTGTGTCTGTGTGTGTGTGTGTGTATGTGTGTCTGTGTGTGTGTGTGTGTGTGTGTGTGTGTGTGTGTGTGTGTGTGTGTGTGTGTGAGTGTGTGTGTGTCCTGATTTGGACCAAACCCAATACTGATATTAGTTGAATCATCTTGCATCATTAAAGAGACTTCATTGGGGGCGTATTTTCTCAGTTAGAAATGGTACTTAAAGCCTTTCTTAGCATTCTAGTGACTAAAACTGAGAATGATGGCTCAGGTATAGAACTGGACTTCTGCGGAAACCCAGATTTAAAGTTAACCGTGTGCTCAACTGTCACAGCCCGTCGGAAAAGCTGTCACCATACTTCATCAATACTGAGACAAGTCACTGACAGCATACAAAGATACATTGGAAGAGTAACACATTAGGTCTTACACATATATCAAGGGCTTTGTTTGTTTGGAAAAGACAACGTAAGCAATGAAAAACATTCTTGATTTCTGGACTTTGTTTGGAAAAGACAACGTAAGCAATGAAAAACATTCTTGATTTCTGGGTTTGGCTACAGGAGAAGTGCAAGAAAAATCAACCATGCAAATTAAGAAGCTATCCCGACTTAACCTAGAAAGAAGAGCAATCCCATATTTCCCTCAGATACTTTAATAAAATTGTTCTCAAAGGGCTCAAATAAAATGAAAATATAAAAAGTTCATTTTATATCTTTCTTTGTCTGTGGCTTTTTGGTAAATAAGAGAGAAAAAAAAAGAAAGCAAAGATTGGCTTTCCAAACCATGAAGTGGAAAATCTGCCCCGAGACAATGACAGTAACATGCTTTCCTAGCAAACGAAGTAGTTACTAACCAAGTGAGCGTCAGCACCACACTTACAAGCCTTTGCCATCTTGTGTCGAATGCAAACACAACTACTACTCTGTAGACCTCTGCGCATGAGAAGAAAGCTCATGCAAAAATATACTTTAAAAAATTACCTTTTTCCCTGGTCGACCTCGTTGTCCTGGGGTTCCCACAATTCCATCTGGTCCCTGATCATTTGATATAAAAAAGAAGTAAATGTTTAAAGAAAAAAGTTAAGCGTTTGACTACTTCTATCAAATAATCATTAAAGTCAACACCGAATGTAAATGAAGGTTATTTTTCAACGCTATTATTTCTACAGTTATTTTTGAAAGGTCACAGTGATTAAAAGGCAGAGTTGTTAACAAGCTTTAAACTGTATACACACACGTGGGTCAGCATAATCAATAAACTGTGCTTTAGGAAGGAAGTTTCTTGGAATATACCCACTTAAATGAATAAGAATGCAATGAAAGTGGACCCAAATGCATTCAAATTAGCATTTTAGTGAGCCGCAGTTAGCTCAGCATTTTGTTGAAAGAGCAAAGTTATAAAATACATCTACTACATGGTCAAAGAAAGTCTCAAAAGTATCACTGAGGTGGAGAATATTAAAGAGATGAAAAGAAAGGAAAAAGGGAAAGCAGGGAGAAAAAGAGGCAGTCATAGTAATCTAAAATAATATTTTAGTTTGCTCAGCTTGCAAAACAGAGCCTTCAAAACAAGAGGGGGTGCTATATAGAGTTTTGTATCAACAATGAATAAGTGTAATCTATAGTGAGTCAGGCTGCTGCTCCTAAAATGGGTAATAATTACAGCTTTCTTTTCATTAGCTGGAAATGGAAATGGAAATTTCAAATTTGGGTCCCCCTAAGCTTGGCAAGCATATGCAGACAAGAAATAAATGGTGGTTTACCGCTGTGCTATGCAGGCCCTTGATAAATATTTGTTGAATGAATAAACAGATACCCAAGGAAATGACTCACGCCCTGACTTCCCAGCAAACACTATTCTAGCCTTCCTCACCGAGCCATGCATGGTCTATTGCTGTATTACAGCTGCATCCAGAGGTAGGGATGAGAGCTGTACCATGTAGAGGACTGTTTATTGCAGATAAATAAATAATGTTTCCAAAAGAAGCTGATTAACCTGCAGAGTCTTAACTGTTGGACTTTTCTAGTTCAGGCTATTAATTGCCACACAGCCACTGACAAACTGCCTAATTTATTAAAGGTCTGTGGGGACTAGTGAAATAGCTCAGCCATTAAAAATGATTGCTGCTTTTTCAGGGAACCCAAGGTGGCATACACAATTACCGGACTCCAGTTCCAAGTGAACCTAGTCCTCTGTCCTCTGTGAGCACCTATATGCAATTCCCACACAAACACACATACTCATAAATAATTTAATTTCTTTATTTATTTATTCTTGGTGTGTTTTATGTCATGCCTCCTGATCCCACCCATCTCCCTCCCCTACCAAAATTAAATAAAATTTAAGGGAAGAAAAAAATAGAAGGGGGAAAGAAAACCTCATCATGGAAGCTTCATGTGACACAGTGTGTCACACAGTGAGCCCCTTTATCCATACATTTTTACATGCAGGAGTGTGTGTGTGTGTGTGTGTGTGTGTGTGTGTGTGTGTGTGTGTGTGAGAGTTTTT